ATAGGTTATAAACCCTTTTGTATTCTTTTATTATCTTGTTCACTGACATGAATTTCTATTGTTTATGCAATGTCAAAATTCGGATATACAAAATTTCAATTTCAAAATGAAAAAAAAAAATCCAATATGGCGGCAACAGGCCTAGTGTCAATGCACAATTTTCAAAGAGGATTTTTCACTATTCGTCACTAATTAATCCATATTTACATTTATATACAGTTATTTATGGCTCATTTACTGAAAATATTTGACTTATTTGACAACTGACTCACAAAAACACACAGAAAACTTATCTTTTTTTGACTTTTTGCAGGAGCAGAAAAATCTTGACCATGCCGACCGGAAGTCACGTGATTTATTCTGACCATGCCGACCGGAAGTCACGTGATTTATTGTAAAACTATTTGGAAGTATGTCAAAAGTTTAAATCCCAAAAAATTACATAAAAATATCACGCATTTAGAATATAAAAATAGTGAAATTGAAAATGATGTTGATATAGCAAATACATTTAATGTGCATTTTACAAATATTGCTGAAGGTATAGTTGATAACAAATCATGTAATAATGATGAAGGTCCAAGTTTCGATGTACTCAACAAATTTGTGAAATCACAAAGTTACAAAGGGGTAGTGAAAAATTCATTATACCAGAAATGAGTATTTTAGATGTAAAAATGTATTTAAAAAAACTTGACAAGTCTAAAGCAACTGGTTTAGATGATGTTGGACCAAATATTTTGAGTATGTGCAGCGATGTCATTGCACCAGCTTTAACATATTTATTTAATCTAAGCATCAAATGTGGTAAATTTCCAAGTATTTTTAAAACTGCAAGAGTTTGCCCAATTTTTAAAAGTGGCGATGCTTGTAATCCTGATTATTATAGACCAATAGCAGTTTTGTCTTGTCTCTCCAAAATCATAGAACGACATATAGCTGATAGTTTGTATATACATGTAAATAGTATTGACCTTCTTAATACTACACAGTCAGGTTTCAGACCTAAACATTCGTGCACTACTGCGCTTACTAAATTAGTAGATGAATGGTTAACAAATATAGACAATGGAGAAATAAACGGAGTTATATTTTTAGATTTAAAGAAGCTTTTGATCTGGTTAATCATATAATTTAATTGAAAAAACTTGAATATTACAATGTTTCCAACTGTACACTAGACTGGTTTCAGTCATACTTGTTTGAACGAAGTCAACAAGTTAAGGTCAATAACATCATGTCTAATACTAAATGCATAAAAACTGGTGTACCACAAGGCTCTATCCTTGGCCCCCTGTTATTTATTTTATATATCAATGATTTGCCACTGAACATAGAAAATTCATTAATAGAATTTATAAGCAGATAATTCTACATTACATAGTAAAGGTAATGATATACTTCAGTTAACTGCTAATCTTCAAAATGATATTTATGTAATTGAAAACTGGTGTTCGCAAAATTGTATGAAACTAAATGCAAAACAATGTAAATCAATGATTATTAGTTCAAAACAGATGCTTTATTCAACTGGGAACAGTTTAGATATCAATATTTCAGATGAACAAATATATAATGTAGATTGTGAAAAACTTCTTGGTTTATATATAGACAAGAACCTGAATTGGAATGAGCAAATAGATAAAATGTCATGTACACTATCAAATAGAATCAACTTATTACAAAAGATAAGAAAATATTTACCAATGCATATACATATTATTTATTTTAATGCTTATATTCTGCCATTGTTTGATTATTGTTGCCATATATGGGGAAGTTGTTATGAAAGTGGAATAAATAAACTTAATAAGTTATTAAAGAAATCTGCTAGGGTTATAGTAGAAGCTGACATAATGACATCCTCCAGTTTATTGTTTAATAGTTTAAACTGGTTAAATGTTGAAAAACTCATTCAATATCAAAAGGCAATACTTGTATTTAAATCATTAAATGATATGGTTCCTAACTATTTACAAGAAATTTTCATTTTACTGGTAATCAAAATTATAATTTACGTTCAGCTGATGTAAAACTATTAAATCTTCAAAAGCCAAAAACAAACTTTTTGAAGAAAAAATTTACATATTCTGGTTCTCAAATATGGAACAGTTTACCAAATGAAATGTATCTTTTAAAACAAAATGTTACAAATTTTTCATCAAATGTGCAAATTAATATGCTTTTTCATTATTATCTAGATACAATTGTATATGTGTATAATATGTCATTATCATATTGTATGAACTTATAAATATGTTATTATCATTTTGAGGAGTCTCAGGAAGATTAGTTTTAACTAATGGGATTATCCTCTTAAATTAAAGATTATTTATTTATATTCATTTATTTAGTTATAGCCATATCCCGTGACACCCTTCATTATTTTTCTCTAGATGCCATGGAATAGGCCAATCCCCCCCTTTTTTTCAAATATTTTCAAATTGCGACCCCTAGTTTCAGATTTTTGAACATAGCGCCACTCGAAACCTTGCGCAAACGACGTGCATGTTTCTCCTCTACCTGACCTAAATAGCCAGACCCCGTGACACCCCTCATTTTTTTTCTCTAGACGCTATGGAATAGGCAACCCCACTGTTTTTTTTTCAAAAATTTTCAAATTTCGACCCCTAGTTTCAGATTTTTGAACATAGCGCCACTCGAAACCTTGCGCAAATGATGCGCATGTTTCTCCTCTACAAGACCTATGTAGCCATACCCCGTGACATCCCTCATTATTTTTCTCTAGACGTTATGGAATAAGCCAACCCACACTGTTTTTTTTCAAAAAATTTCAAATTTCGCCCCCAACTTTCAGATTTTTGAACATAGCGCCACTCGAAACCTTGCGCAAACGATGCGCCTGTTTCTCCTCTACAAGACCTATATAACCATACCCCGTGAAACCCCTCATTATTTTTCTCTAGACGCTATGGAATAGGCCAACCCTCACTTTATTTCAAACTTTTTCTAATTTCGACCACTAGTTTCAGATTTTTTAACATAGCGCCACTCGAAACCTTGCGCAAACGATGCGCCTGTTTCTCCTCTACAAGACCTATATAGCCAAGAAATCAAGGGTAATCAAATTTTAACTCAAAATGGTCTATACATTATTTTTTCTATCACCGAAAGTTTCATTTCTGCAAATTTGTTTGTTAGTTCAATTAAACATAGGCATCAAAGGTGCTATTTTTTCAGGGTAGGACTACTTTTACATACGTTCTATATTGAAGTGGATGCATTGGTGGTCCAACACCTACAACCAATCCGTTAATAGATGCGGATTTACTGTGGTACTGAATGTTTCCATGAAAAGGGGTGTGGCTTGTTTTATAAATAGATATGGTAAATCCCATTTCATGATAGAGTTGTAAATAGCAATTTGTGGACGGAATTTCTGCAATAACCAAATATTTTTTTCTAGCGGCCGTTACTTTCTTTTTCAATTTTTCGGTTTTTAGATATATCGCCTTATTGTTCGCTGGCTTATTGTTCGCTAGCTTCAGCCTGGTGGTCTATGGTGCTGTCAATTACGTTTATGATAATTACAGTCACATAGGTGTGTCTAGACTATGTGAGTCATGTCTTTTTAAATCGGTCTGTAGTGATCATGTGTTTTGCGTCGTTGTTGGTCTTAATCTTTTTCAAGAGTTGAGTATTAGCGATTGTTATGGTCTATGGTACTGTCAATTACGTTTTTGATAATTACAGTCACATATATATGTTTGGACTATGTGTTTCATGTCTTTTCAAATCGGTCTGTCGTGATCATGTGTTTTGCGTCGTTGTTGGTCTTAATCTTTTTCAAGAGTTGAGTATTAGCGATTGTTATGGTCTATGGTACTGTCAATTACGTTTTGATAATTACAGTCACATAAGATATGTTTGGACTATGTGTTTCATGTCTTTTCAAATCGGTCTGTAGTGATCATGTGTTTTGCGTCGTTGTTGGTCTTAATCTTTTTCAGGAGTTGAGTATTAGCGATTGTTATGGTCTATGGTACTGTCAATTACGTTTTGATAATTACAGTCACATAAGATATGTTTGGACTATGTGTTTCATGTCTTTTCAAATCGGTCTGTAGTGATCATGTGTTTTGCGTCGTTGTTGGTCTTAATCTTTTTCAAGAGTTGAGTATTAGCGATTGTTATGGTCTATGGTACTGTCAATTACGTTTTTGATAATTACAGTCACATATATATGTTTGGACTATGTGTTTCATGTCTTTTCAAATCGGTCTGTCGTGATCATGTGTTTTGCGTCGTTGTTGGTCTTAATCTTTTTCAAGAGTTGAGTATTAGCGATTGTTATGGTCTATGGTACTGTCAATTACGTTTTGATAATTACAGTCACATATATATGTTTGGACTATGTGTTTCATGTCTTTTCAAATCGGTCTGTAGTGATCATGTGTTTTGCGTCGTTGTTGGTCTTAATCTTTTTCAAGAGTTGAGTATTAGCGATTGTTATGGTCTATGGTACTGTCAATTACGTTTTTGATAATTACAGTCACATATATATGTTTGGACTATGTGTTTCATGTCTTTTCAAATCGGTCTGTCGTGATCATGTGTTTTGCGTCGTTGTTGGTCTTAATCTTTTTCAAGAGTTGAGTATTAGCGATTGTTATGGTCTATGGTACTGTCAATTACGTTTTTGATAATTACAGTCACATATATATGTTTGGACTATGTGTTTCATGTCTTTTCAAATCGGTCTGTAGTGATCATGTGTTTTGCGTCGTTGTTGGTCTTAATCTTTTTCAGGAGTTGAGTATTACTGATTTTTATTGTCTTTGATACTGTCAATTATTTATATTTTTTAAAATTACGTTATTCTTGCAATCAGAATGGATTTAAGTTTCACATTCTGTATGAACTTGTGTTTATTTGATAGATGTTTATTTGTGTTATTCAACATGAGTATTGCTGAAAGTTATGTTAGAATGATAATATACAATAAATTTTGCTAAACGCAGAGTGTAAATAATGCTTACTTTCCGTTGTTTCTCTTTTCCACTTGGCTTCCACAATAATTGTACAAATCACGACTAAAAATGTAATCATAGCAACACGTGCCATGATGGTTTACTGTCTCCAGGTACGGTCGTGGTGATATTGTCTGAAAAATAGAGGATAAACATTTCAAATTATACTAGTAGTTTTCTGATTTTTGTATGACTATAAAATAGAATATCTATAAAAGAGGTATCATCTTTCTCCGGAAGCTTGTTAGTGTCAGGGTTTTAAGTCGTTATGAACTTATCGCGACTTATTAACTCGTTATAACGACTTAGCTTACTCGATATAAAGACTAAGCTAACTAGTTATAATGCCTTAGCCTAACTTGCTATAACGACTAAGTAACTCGGTATATAACGACTTAGTTACTCGTTTTACCAACTTAGCTAACTCATTATAACAGTTTACTACTTGCAGTGGTTCAAAAGGCTTTGAGAAATCGACTAGACATTTGGTTCACTAAAACATACCACTTAACTGGACCAAACCAAATTTTACTGGACCTTGCCCAATGTCCAGCGACTTTGGGAATGACTGCTACTTAGTTAATTCGTTATAACGAATGCTAAGTCGAGCATTTAAAATTGTTGAGGAAAGGTTTTTTGATAATAATTATTCTGGCTTAAAGCAAAAACTGAAAATAAAAAAAAACATGTGCCTTTGGCTCCATCATACGGTGTTTATATATCCCAACTCGTTCGGTATGCCCGTGTGTGTAGTGATGTCATAGATTTTAACGAACGTAATCAATGCATCACTGGTAAATTATTAAGTCAGGGTTTCGTTACCATAAATTACTTAAAACTTTTACTAAATTCTTTCATAGATACAAAGATTTGATTAGTAAATTTGGCTGTACCTGTAGAAAACTCATTAGAAATGGTATTTCACAACCTAAATTTTACGGTAATATTGTACTTAAAGCGCGGAAATCACTATGTGATCCGTGTAAACTCATCAAACCGTTAAACAAACTTATTAGTAAGGGTTATCGTACCAATGTTGTAATTAGATCTCTGAATATAGTTAACATTGGCACGAATATTGATTTTGTCATTAGCAAATTAAAACATAACTAAATTTGTATTTTCTTTTCAAACGGGATGTATAGACACACACACACACGTTCATTTTTATCTATAAAGAAGTCACTCCTAACTATCCTACTACCTGTCGATACATTTATTTTTGGCATTGCACAAGTCATGTCTTCTTTGACTGTTCATGACGTTAAAATACTAAATCCCTGGGATGTGTTTTAGTTGATTTTAGTCTCTGATGCATGATTTTTTATTATTAATTGTTTTGGCTTTTAACTAGCTGTCAGTAACTGCGAGTACTCTCAAATCGTACTTTCTTGTTAATTTGACCTGTTGATACTATTTGTAATGCTTTTTTGTTATTTAATGTTAACATGGATCTTGTCTATATACCAGCTTTGATTATTTGGAATTACTACAAATTTTCACTTCTTCGTACTATGAACATCAAAATTATTTCATTTCTCCTTATAAACTGTTCTTGCACCTGTACAGGAAGTTTTATCTAGCACTAATTGTATAGTTTTATTGTTGATATTCACCCCATATGTACCAAGTGTTAGATTAGTTTTATTGATATAAAGAAATTTCTTGGTATTCCTAAACGGAAGATTTTATACACACAGAAGAAGAAGTATACTAACTGACGACATTTTACCTACTGTAAATTCAGAAATTATTGCTTGCATTTATTATTGCGATTTTTATACGACCGCAAAAAATTTTTGCAGTCGTATATTGGTATGACGTTGGCGTCGTCGTCGTCGTCGTCGTCCGAAGACACATTGGTTTTCGCACTCTAACTTTAGTTTAAGTGAATGGATCGCTTTGAAATTTTACCATAAGGTTTAATACCACAAAAGGAAGGTGGGGATTTATTTTGGAGGTTATGGATCTCTGAAATTGTACTACAAGTTTCCATACCACAAAGGGATGGTTAGGATTTGCTTTGGGGGGTTATGGCTCAAACCGTTTAGGAATTAGGGGCAAAAAAGGGGGAAAAACAAGGTTGTCCTGGTTAATGGACAAATACTTTAGTACAAAACATAATTTAAAGCAGTGTAAGGGAGATAAATCAAATACATCATTGAAATTATCTCCCTTACACTGCTTTTAAATTATGTATAAAGTAATGGTTAACGAACAATTAAGATAATTTAAAACAGTGTAAGGGAGGTAATCCAAATACAACGTTTTGGTTACTTCCCTTACACTGCTTTTAAATTATGTTTAAAGAAATGCATATTTATAAAGGAAGACCAGTAAAAATATCTGCAAATGTTGCATCTTTTTTTTTTACAAAAATATCCATATGAAAGATTTGACACTATATTTTAAATTCTATTTTAAAATAGATTAAGTTAGCACTATGGTAAATTTAAATGGGTAATTATGGTTGCAAACTCCATTGGAAATTTGAATTGAGATTATGACCATATCTTGAGGTTTCAGATTTCAGAAATTAAAAAGAATTATTCTTCAAATATTATTTTTTTTTTCAAATTTCAAATATTGAAAAATTTCAAGAAGTAATCTTTAATTGCACAGTATGGCGCATTAGATTTGTAAAATCTTTGACCACATTTATTTATTTGTTATGCCAAATCTAACCGTGTATTTATATTTTTAATTTTGGGTCCCGTTTTTTAAATTGGTCTACATTAAGGTCCAAAGGGTCCAAAATTAAACTTAGTTTGATTTTAACAAAAATTGAATTCTTGGGGTTCTTTGATATGCTGAATCTAAACATGTGTTTAGATTTTTGATTATGGGCCCAGTTTTCAAGTTTGTCCAAGTTGGGGTCCAAAATTAAACTTTGTTTGATTTCAACAAAAAATTAATATATGGGGTTCTTTGATATGCTGAATCTAACCATGTATTTTGATTTTGGACATTGGACCATAATAGGTAAATTAAAAAAATTCAAGTTCTTAGACCACATTCTTTCTGTGTCAGAAACCTATGCTGTGTCAAATATTTAATCACAATCCAAATTCAGAGCTGTATCAAGCTTGAATGTTGTGTCCATACTTGCCCCAACTGTTCAGGGTTCGACCTCTGCGGTCGTATCAAGCTGCGCCAAGCGAAGCATTTTATTCACAAATGGACTAAATTACAAGTTAAATTATTGCGATTACAAAAAAATCTGCATAAAGATCTATAATTCAGTTATTAGAATGCAAGTTCTTATTATTGCTATATTCACCCTGTCACATTATTTGAATTAATGAAAACCTCACAATAATTTCTAAATTTACAGTATCACAATGATCCAGCTTAATATTGTTTTGTAAAATTAAATATGCACTCAAATTGATACAGATTGCAACAAAGATCTCAACCTCATTTCATGGATCAGTGATCAAGGTTAGAGTTACCTGATTAGGGTTGTTTATCAGATACTGTTAGCAATAGGTCATTTGTCAATGTCATGTTTTTTGTGTTTATGTCTGTTTTTTCTAATACTTAAAGTACATGTAGTAGATAAACTATATGTATGCAATGATTCACAAATGTAAGGAGTACATGTCTGTCTGGCAGTTGTCATTGACCACATTTGCATGGTTTATTGGTCAATGGTAAGTCCTCTTTTAACATGCTACATTGTGTAATCAGTAGGTCATTATATTTGGTATATGGTATGATTATTAAATGTATATATTGAAATATTAAGTAAAAAGATGTGATATAATTGTAAATGAGACACTCCACAAGAAACCAAATAACACAGAAATAAACAACTATAGGTCACCATACGACCTTCGACAATGAGTAAAACCTATACTGCATAGTTGGATATGAAAGGCCTCCAAATGACAAATGTACAATTTAAAACAATTCAAATGAGAAAACTAACGGCATGATTTATGTACAAAATAATGAATGAAAAACAAATATGCCTGTCTTGTAGGGTTAATCTGAACTTAACCTCATTTTCATGGTTTTGTCTGTTACTGGCATACTATATATATGCTTCAAAATATTTGGTTGATGGGATGATTGTAACAGAGGCGGATTTAGGGGGAGGGCCCATTGATTGATTATATAGGGAATCACTGAAGCATGACTGGAGCAGACCTCTCTTAGGCAGTCAGCCCCCCCCCCCC